TGGAATTTAATGTACCAAAATATAGTTTAAAATCTAACAATCTATGTGAAAAGTGATATAACTAATAAATAATCATGTTGGTTAACGAGATTTAATGGTTCCGGTAAAGCTGGTGTCATTCAAGCTTTCAATGAGAACATGAACGATACGTGCTGTATCTACTGTTTGTTTTGTTGTCATGCGACTCGCAAAGTTAAACTAAGTCATGTATACAGATTAGGTGAGCTAGTATACTGTTATATACACCAAATGAATATAACAAGTGTGTGGGTCTATAAATACATGTGTTTCTCATGAATTGTAGTCAAGAAACAACTTAAGACACCAAATGCAAATGCTGCATCTACTGCAACACTTTGTCTTGTCTTTGTTTTTGGTAGTATCCCAGCATCCTTCTTCGTTTCATTGTCAATACGTGGCCGGCTGATGTATCATGTTACTATGTACTGCGACAATTCATTGGGGTGATATTGTAAAGTAGCCTAGAATGAATACCTGTTTCAGCCAAACTACTCAAGGGTGTGTCCTTTCAGGACATTGCTACGTATGTGTGTGTGAACAGTTTAAGAATGGAGTTACTTTGACCTTTAGTACAACTGATGGCAAAAAGGGTCACGTGGTACATAACAAATGCTCAATTTAAATGACCTTCTGCTAGTGCTTCCTTACTACGTATTTCTCGAGGTTTTTTGAGTGGTCAAACTTTAAGGAACACCATCTTTATATGGCTTTAGCTGTTGTGATAATGAGATACCATCAGCACACTATCATGATTATCTAACGTTAAATTATGAGGACCATTCGGTTTACAATAGGAAAACCTATCTTGTTTGATAATATAAACATACAGCAATCACGTTTAAGTCTGGTTATAATAATGCATTGACATTTAACTTCATCGAATGAACTATAGATGGATGAAACATGATTCCACAGTAAGGGTATGGTAGTAACAATACTTGTACAACTATAATACTAGTTGATATGTTTTGTGTGCTGTGCTATGCTTTTGTATGTGGTTACGAAATACTAACTTACAAACCTGTATATTTTCACAGAAAACAGAGGAGCATACAATGATCCAGCCAATCACAATTCAGTAAAACCGCCAAAGCAAAAAACTGGCTCGTTTGGTAAGGGAATGAATTCAGTATATGTATTATATGTAGACGAATGTAGACGACACGTGAATAATGATCTGTGTGTTCATAAAGTCAAATGAATTTAATTAGCGGTCAGGTGACCAATTGTTTTGTTTGATTCGAAGTCAAATCCGTTGCCTGAGGCAATGTCAGCAGTTTTGCTGAAGGTAATACAATACATGTGTTGTCCGAAACCTTTTTTTGAGAGGGTCATAGTGTTACTTCGTTGGACCTATCTTAAGACCCGACATTTCTGCAAAACTTGCATGTCCGCATTGACTTTAGTTGTGTAAATTGAAAAGAAAGGATATTTCGGTCAACTTAAATTCTCACAATGACAAATATCAAAGAGATTATTTGTCATAATATGAAAATATCACTTTTGGTTTTGATCAATCAAAGCGGTTCTTCCTCACTCTTTGCAAAAATCCACAGACATAAAGCGACGGAAGAAAAAGTGTTGTTTTTGTACATCTTTGCTATGAGTAATCTGTAAGCAAATCTGTCAAAATATTACAAGAACGGGAACATTAAATATCACCATTAAAGTCAGTTTACGGACAATAATATAATAGATTATACATTTACTTCCCTGATAGGAGGATAAATTATTTCTCAGAAGTGGCAATGAATGACAAAATTACTAACGACCGGAAGAACGGAATAAGTGGCCCCATTTGAAACGACCAGAAAAATGTGAAATATTGCTTAAGTTTATATGACATCTGTTTTCAACAGTTTAAAATGTTCTGAAAACAGTAGTAATGTACTCCATGACAGTACTTCCAAGGTTATTAATATTTCATAGTTGTCTTTCCTAATAAGCTGAGATTATGATAAATGCTGCATTAAGTCAAATGATCAATCATGCAAAGCTGTTCGGACATCCGAATTACGTTATACTGCCTCGCCGGTGTTGTCAGAATTGTGTTATATTATTAGTAACGATGACAACGTGAACTTCCATTACAGCCAATACAATGTACGGGGATCCCAACCTTATCATCACATCAGGTATAAGTCCTGCGAGTTTGCTGAAACCAGTTCCGAAATTTACGTACAAAAAGAAACAAAATAAAGGTAAGTAAAATTATTTTTCATGACAGTCTTTGAAAAACCCTCTCTTGACATAAAAACACCCTTCTTTCTGATTGGTCTCCGTTTGGACAGTTATCTTTCAGATTAGTTTCTTTTGTTGGTGTGTATTAGCAATGATATAGTATATACTGTTGTAATAATTTGGATTATTCTTAACTAAAGACCTTGTACAGTGTCGAGGAGTTGTTATACTCCACTGCATGTCGAAAGTTAAGACACTTGCACCCCACTGCATGTCGAAAGCGAAGACAATTGTGCCCCACTGCATGTTGATAAATAACTAAAATGTATCCCTTCTACTTTAGCGAGACGTTTTTCTGACTCCACATCAGATCGAGAGGACACCGTTACGTATGAAAATGTCGCAAAAGGCGGAAACAGCTATGAAAACTGCAACAATTGTAAGTTTAAAAATAATTTGAAAGTCAGAATAAGCGAAACAACATGCATTTGTGAACTACGTCTGCTTATAGGACAAACAATGTTCATGGCCAGTATCAAGAGATTTGTTTCTAATATTTTTCCTAAATTTCTTACAACAAAAACAAGACACTTCCGAGGTGTGAACAAAATAATTTGTGATAGAGCTAGGACATGATATTAACAAAGGAACAATTTACACATAGACCCTTATATAAGTGATAACTTATGTTCACAAAGATGTGTTCATGCTCAAACTTGGATTTTCAGAACGAACTCAAATCAGTAAAAATTGCTCATACAATGCATGCATGGCCTTCATACATAAATGCAACACGACACACACAGCTGCTACAATTTCTCACCAGGTTGAGAAACCATGCCGTAACAGTGAATATATACGCACACGCCTATTAACAGTACATATTAAACAAACAAGAAGATGATAATGAGGTTGACCTAGGCAGCCGGTGTAGGGTGAAATATAATTCCGGTGTGAGCAAAGTTTCCGGTTTAAGTAGTACAATGATTTCCAATAACGTTTCATGGAAGATATTGGAATAATTTCGTAGAGAGCCCTAGGCAAAATTCAATTTACTGTGTTTGATGTAGACTTTTTGATTGTGTCACACAGTTTAAGTGATTCGTAAAAAGGTTTGAGCATATAACCCATTCTTGAGCACGAGAATGGTTTCATAGATATTGCCCAGGTGTTCCCAAAGTGTATACGCTTCCTGCGTCACCAACGACATCAGCAGTGTAGATCTGGTCAAATCCAAATAATCTCTCGTCTAAAATAGAAAAATCAGAAAAGTGACAACGACACCACTAGATAAACTTAAAAAGCATAATCAAACTTCGGCATGGTATTTTAGTGATATAGCACTATATAGTTGGTATCAGATCCGTGTTATCACAAGGAGGCAAGCATACCAGCATACCATGCCTCATGGATTTACACACGGAAACACGCATACACTACACACATGGAGGCACTTCCTTAAAAAAACCTTAGCTGTTCATAGGACGTTAAACAAAATTAAACCGAACCAAACCAAACCAAAACACATCTCGTATGAACATAATAAAAATACGTTCTGTTTATATTGAAAACATACAAATTAAAACTGATTATGATTGTGGACAGTGAGTGCTTGTCTTGTTGATATGCCTGTCATTTTATTGACTTTATACTTAATGAATGAACTGGTGATAACTTACTGTATATGTTCTTGTACTGTATACTTATGGACTTCCTTGACTTTCTTGTGTCAAGGGGCCGTTAAGATTTCACAAGCAACACAAGCTCTCCCTTTCTATGTTCTTTCAGATTTTGAAATTGTTACATTTCTTGTTATATTTAATTAGGATTATAAACAAGGCAAACATGAAAAACGTGTTAAATGGAATGGTATGATGTTACCGTAATACATCCTGTTAAGTGCATCAACTGAACTGTGCATAAATGGAAATAAACGAACTGCACGGATAACTAATTGTTATTTTTTATATAATGATTATCTAGACGTGGTGCTGTATTATTAATTTTTAATGTTTCAGTAAAACGGACAAAGTCTATACAGTAAGGACAGATGGATGACATTAACCTGTTGTACCCGGATATTTCTTTACCGAGTATTCCGAATAGTCTTGTTGTATTTGCGTAATTTGTTTTTGTTTCTTGCCTAATGATATTTGAGTTATAATATATATTTTATCTTATGGTTTGTTTTAAGTCTGATCCTCTGACCTTTAAGAGAGTAGGTTTTTTTTTAAAAAGAAAGATTGAAATACAAATATAATGAAGTTCTTATATGTTGTTTATTTATTTATTTATTATAGAATTATCGAGAATAAATACACAATGTTACCGAACACAGAATGTACTGATAATGCTTCGATAATGGTCCATATGTTCAACAATGTAATTTTACAAAACTACTATATTTATGTAAATAAAATATTTCTTACTCAATTTTGTCTGTTTGTTTTGGATAATACTGCATCATTCTTTCTATATTGATGTTTTTTACACCTCAAAATGCTTTTAAATCTGGATATGCTATTCAAATATTACACATTTGCCAATCCAGCCTCTTCACTTGTTTTCAATCGAAATGACAAAACTCTATTTCAAAATAAACCAAACTGTAATCCAACTTTGTTCGAACTTATATTGCTCACTTATCCGTTCAAAGCATGCCTATGGTTCCATTGTATATTGATTAGCTCGAAAATCGTTCTTGCAGATGCTTGATCCAATTCATAACCAGGGGCTTCGTCTGGCTTTAGGTTTCTTTTCGTACATCACCAGCCTCAAGCCTCTGCGTTGAAGTAAATGAACCACCTATAAGCGAAAGAAGGAAAAGATTATTACTATAGTTTACTTATCTGTTAAAAGCAAACCAAGAAAACCCTGATTTCCGGTCAGTATTTTATCCAAAGTATAGTTCCCTTTTCAAACGCAATGATACATTAATTCAATCTTTTGGCGAACGGCTTCAAAAATTGCTGGAAAATTCAAATTTAGACCCACAAACAGTCGAGATTTTTACAATACCTAATATACCACAATTCAGCTACCCGAAATAAATTTAGAATTACACAATTATGTAAAATCTCGCACTCACCCGTTTCAATACAAAAGTTCTTTTCCAGAGAACATCTCGAGATTTCCTTTACAATAAATCGTATACACCGACGGTTCTAAAGTCGATGAGAAAGTTGCTGCAGCATGCGTTGTCGGCAACGCGTCTTCTTCCTGCCGTTTACCTTATGATGCCTCTATTTTCACAGCTGAAGCAACTGCACTTTGTCTAGCTTTGGATGAAATCGAAAAGAATGAAATATTATCTGCTCCGACTCTTTGTCACTACTACTAAGTATTACAAACCGGAACTTTAATAACAATCTCGTACAAAATATTGCCCTCCGTATTAACAGAATGTTAGTTTTCTGTCAACTTGATTTGGATTCCCGGCCATGTCGGAATAAATGGAAATGAAAAAGTAAGATAGAGCCGTTGAGGCAGCACTTTACCTCAATACGAAAGTTATTAAACTGCCTTTTTCTGATTTTAAACCTTCAATAGCTATTTTTATTTATTTAACGAATTGGCAAAATAAATATTCTGAAGAAAGAAACAATAAGTTATTTCCAGCATGCCATCAACCAGTTACAGTCAAACACTTTATAAATGAATGCGCTGATTTCAAACAAATACGTGACAGATTTTATAATGTAACCCCTATGAAACGTTTATTCGAAACAGTTTCTGTGCATTCAATCAATGAATAACATTCAATTAATCTCTGTAATAAGATATGATATAGTTTATAAACAATGTCTATTTTTACACGTAAAACAATACAAAATAAATAAATAACGTAACTCATCGGGTAAGGCCGGGGGGTGAAAATCCAGGTGAAGGGGAGCTATAGGCAAACGAATGCAAATAACAAATACTATTCATTACGGTCAAATGGTATCGCATATCAGCTCTGTGTGTCAGGCACTGGACATGTAAAACTCCGGACATCAAATTATTATTTACCTGTTCTGTGCGGAGAGAAGCGCACAACGGGGCGAACGATTGTTAAATCGCACAGTTGTGCGCACCATGTGTGAACGATGTGCGGACGGTGTGTGAACGATGTATGCACGGTGTGCGCACGCTATTTTTGGTGAGTTGTTCAGTCCCACAACTGTAGTATCGACACAATCCAATTATTTGCAACGATTGATATTCCTCCGTGGCTTCTGGTTTCACCGGATGTTGATCTCACACTTCATGAGACATCCAAATCTGACAACGAATCTTACTTTTTTCTTTAAAATTTCTCAAAACCGTAGTTAAAATATAAGGACTTTCAGTCGTTTTATACTGACGGTTAAAAAGATGACCATACAGTTGACGCGGCGATTGTAGCGAAATATGCTTCTTGGATGCCGGCTGCCCAATGATGCGTCAATATTCTCCGCAGAAGCCCATGTTATTTATCTATTTTTCCAAATGTGATTCAAATTTTGTTATATCTATATTTCAAATCATTTCTTGTTGGTTGAAGGTCATTTCATCTGAATAAGAAGTGTTAATTGTCCGTAATATGCCGTGCATTAAGTGGGTTAGGGCGTTTCAATAAACGAGATTGCTTAACACATAGAGGAAGACAGGCGAGGACATCTTCGTATTGACGCCTTTCTTTATAGCTTGGAAACCCGTTACTGACAATAATATTTTTTAAGTGCAGTTTGTTATCATCTCATCGATTCTAATTTTGTAACCATTGTTACCATTTGTGATCAATTTTGGCATAAAAGGTTAAAAATCTGCAAAATTTGCTTTTTTTATTACTTGTATTCCCACATGTCCAGGGACCCTACACCATAGACTATCTTTTAATGCACCTTTAAGAACCAACTTTAATTACTAATTATTATATAAACCTACTAATTTACCTGGGCTTTTTAGTTATCGTATGTTGATACGGAAGTATGTTCTAATTAACAATTCGTAAACATTTTAAGATGTTGCTAGTTTAAGTTTGATCTACCTCATTTTCGAGGTATGTCATATAAGTGTAGATGTACTCCGAGAAGGCTTTCCACAATCAGTGTATACTGTCGTCATATAACCTTAGTTACTGCGAAGACAAACCCAAACAAAATCTGAAATATTTCTTGCAACATCTTTGATTATGCTTTCCTGTTTTCAGTAATATTGGTCAATTTGTTAAACAATGTACATTGTAACTAGCTCGATATAAAACATATAGGAAACATTACGCTCCCATCCATATTACATTACTTATAGCTATTAAGTGTGTCATTCATAAAAACAATTTGTCAATTATCATAGCCTACATTATATCAAACATAGACTCATGTTCACCCCTCAAGGTCCGATCTGTAGGTAAAGAAATTACATGTCGTTAACCATTGCATGATCGTCGAATGCAACTTACATTGTATATTATCCAATTCCTACACATTTAGTTTCTTTTTTGCCCTTTATATGTTGTTATATGTATGTGGGGCTCGAAAATGATCTGCTGCACTCATTGCAACATCTGGTAGACAGGCCCCGTACGACCTTAGCTACTACAATGACTTAATGTATTAAGATTTCCCATTAAAAATAAA